GGCGGTTGAGCCTCATCTCGGTCAAATCACCTCCTGGCACAACCGTAGACCAAGAACAATGCTTTCCCTAAAAAGTACTGAACTCAAAACCCTTCATGGGTTGTAGTGGTACAGGTATATATATTTTTTTACTTAATTTTAATAAGTTTCTCTTTTGACTGACGATATTAGAATATATATATATATATATATATATATATATATATATATATATATATATATATGGTTTATCTACTCACATGAAATTTCAAGTTATAGACAATTAAATTATCAATGAAATCTACAATGTTTTGATAACATCCAATACTCTCTTTTTAAGATACTAACTCTGATAGGACGGCCACAGTGGTATATAATGCTAACAAAAAGACTCTAAGCATACAACAATTTTTAAAAACTCCTCATAACTCCCTTAAAACTCATACGAGCTATGCACTACAAGGAAATCCATCCCACAAAGGAAAATATGAAAATCTCAACCACAGATCTTTGGGCATAAAAAAACAAAACAATGTTTGGAAAGACGAATTTTTTATGAAACCAATAAACCCCGTACAGGTTTCTATGGAAAAATGCATATAATTTGTTCTATATATTTTTTGAATCTTTATCAAGTTAGTTTTTGGCCAGATATTTGCTTTTGTAACTGTAAATTATTGTTATTCTAAGGGGACATTGTCCCAGAATAAAGTTTATTTTCTATTTATATTTCTATAACATTAAAAAAATACGTATTAAAAATATTGTTACAATGTTCAATACAGCGTATCTTTAAAAGTTCATTTTTACATGTTTGTTGGTTTGTAGGGCTTATTTATAATTGAATAATTTTAAAACTGACATATTTACGTAATTAACTATAAATAAGCACAATATTTTGGATTCGCACGCGAACGAAATTGTTTTTTCTTCATAATTATTTTTTTATAGGTGATGCAATATTAATACAATGTAAACGTGCTACAAAGAAATAAATTTAGACGTTTTATATAATTTGTGAAGTCGAAAACAAAATGTTAAAAACAAAAACTGCTATGTCTTAGGTTATTACGCAATGAGTCTGCTTCGGTACATAGGTGGTAAAAACAAAAATAAAAGTGTGGTTCAACGGTTCAAAAAAATATTGTGATATATTCCACTAGCTGATAAAACATTTTTTTTTTTCCTTTTAATCAAATTAGGAGACTCGATAGTTTATTCAGAGGAAAACTGCATAAGTCAAATTTCTTCATGTTGCAACAATTTTCTTACCTAGTAATAGTAGTAAAAGAAAAAAAAAAGTAATTACTAAACACTAATATATTTAAATAATAAATATTATAGCAATGAAATACTCAATTCTGTTGATTCAATTCAACTTACATCGTATGGTTCGTCACAAAATGTTGGCCTTGATGATATGAGTCTAATCTGGAGGAAATAAAAATAGGTCACTGATTCGATAAGTTAGCACACTTCATTATATATATTTTTTACAACGATTGCTCGAATGTAGCTTCAACTGCAATATAACAATGGCTATTGTAAAACATGCAATTCAATCCGAGAGGGGAAAGAAAACTCATTAGTAAGATAAATACCTTTATGGAATACTTATAACAAAACAATTTCACAATTGAAGAACAATAAGCATGTTTTGTAAATAATTGGAATTTATGGGTCATGATGGCAATAACAATTTTATATGTATGATTTTAAAATCTCAAAATTTCTTAAGAGATTATTTTAAATGAAAATACATCCACAAATAAATCTGTATAACTTAGCTTGATTATAAACGCACTGAAGAACGTTCAAATATTTTGAACAAGTAAGCTAAATTTATAAAATGCAATTAACTCACTGCACTATTGATAATTGTATAAGTAAGTTCCTAAACTAAGCGATGGACTCATCGGATCCTTATCCAAAATGGACGAATCTCATTGATGTTTTGAACAGAGTTTAGAAACTTGACCTATCTTAAATAACCCAATACCAATAAAGCTGAAATTATGAATGATATTGCCTTATTAGCTGTAACGATTTTAGTTAACCATTTTTCTTTCAATTAAAAAATATAAGAAATTAAAAATTACATCCACATAGCAGGCTGAAACGACAAGAAACCGCTTGACGTTTCTGATTACTTCAGCACTTACTAGACAAACGCTCTAAACTTCCAAGTAATTACATTAAGTTGAGGTTGAGCTAGGGGGCTCCACTAAACCATCGAATTCCTCTCCTATCTAATCCTTACAATCCAAAATCCTTCGTAAAATCCACAATGCTCCCTACTTTGTTACAAATAAAACCATCCATAATGACCTTAATGTTTCAGATCTGGCCCAATCCAGATACCTGTTCTTCCATAATAAACTTCAGAATCATCCCAACCCTCTCGTTTCTAACCTTGCATCCTCATCAATTCCTGGTAACCCTCCGAGGCGTCTGAAAAGGAGATGGCCCCGTGATCTCATAATGGAGACATATTATTAGAGTGCTACTATTGGGTAGTTTCTCAACAAGTGTTTTCACGACATATATCCATATGTTCAAATTTACTAAATGTATTTCTTTAATACAGTTATAAATATCATTAAAAAAACAAAATAAATTACATCAGGAATACAAGACATGCACAGAAGTATATAAATAAGGCAAGAGAAAAGGGTAAATAGTACACATAATATAAATTAATAAATATAACAAATAAATGAGAAGTATGCAAAATACAACTAGGGCTAAAAATAGATGAGGTGATTTTTTCTGTTTTTGTAAATAAAAAATTCAACCAAACCAGCTCTGGTTCCTTTATCATATTTCTTATTAATTTTATGTATTTATTTACATTATTCATGTATTTAAATCATGTGTACAATGAGATTAGTCTGTCATTCCCCGAGTAAAGCGGTTAAAGAAATATCAAACGCAACTTTTTAAACGAGAGAAATTGAAAGCTAGAATGTTTTTGTAATAACTTCACAGCATATAGTTCCCTTAACTGGAAGCCACTTAAAATAAATCGATTATATAACTTATTGACTAGGCAACTGTGAAGCGAGACTGAATGCCACACAATCTATCTTGTAAATAGCGAAACCTATTTCATCGTTTAAAATAAGACATGGGTTTACTAAATAGATATTAATAAAAATTGGTGTATCAAAAAATATATATGTGTGCTTATTACTTCATAAAGAAAATTTGCAGAAGTTGCTTAACGAAGACTTCAGTTTTGAAGTGACAAGAAGGCGATTGTCCAACGTCGAAATCGCTTTTAGAATAGAAAAATTTACAGTCGTTTTTCATCGTCAGGTTTTTTCATCAAGAAAAAACCGATTCCGTGTCTATATCCGTGCAGTCAAACATACTACATATTATCAACCGTTAATACGATTTTTATAAAATTTTCAGTTTTTCGATATTTAAAAAAGTGCTCATTCGATTCGGCTCAAAAATAAAAGATATTTTGATATTACAGTTACTGGTACTGGTAAAGAGGAAGGACGAATAAGGCAATAGAAGTTGCGGATTAATGAAACGTTCTTTCGCTGATAACTTTTCACATTAAAAATATTTTGTTCGATTTAGCAGTTTGAGAAAATTTGGTGAATAGTGTCGTATCATTTTCGGCACTATAAAAAACTAAATTAGTATATCAACAGATAGGTTAAAATTACTTTTAAGCTATTCGTATTCTCTTGTCAAATCTATGTCACGGAGATGGCATTTAAATGGTCCGCTTACTTCTTTCGCTTAGTGGTTTTTTTTTCGTATCAATTTTTTCCATACAAGATTATATTTTAATGGCTTCCAACATAAATTTTTTCTCAAACGACACACATTGAACCAAGACTTTCGACAAATCTTCGACAGACCTCCATCCCTCCCTATATATTTAGCTCCAAAACACTACCCACCTTTGAATCCTGCCAACTCACTCAAATAACTTCCTATGCATCCAGTTCCCTAACAATTTTAAATAGGTGTTTCCGTATGTTTTTTATTATTCTCTTTTATATAAGTTCTGAGACTCTTATAATTATTATATATTTTTCTAAAGAGACTTAAGAGAAAATAAAAACCAAAACAAATATTATTGTCATTATTAAGAAATGAATCTTGAAACAAATACAATTGGTTAGGAAATTACAATTTTTTAATTTTTTTTTATGTAAAGACTTCTTTAGACGCGTTTTGCAAATTTTTTGTGGAAAGTGAATTAGATTGAGCCGTCAGATTTCCTGTGTAACGCTCGGGTAAAGTCGGCTGGAGCCAACAATCAAAAATTGAACCTGCATATTGTTAGCTAGAGAAATATTTATTATTTTATCCTCTTTGTAAAATGAGCTATTATTCTAAATTGCATCTTAACGCGACAACATGGTTGAAAGGCGAAAAGGGAAAAAATATTGTCGAAAATCAAATGATATGCAGTTTTATTGAAGATAACGATTAAAATATTTCAGAAATTAAACTATAAATTTATAATTTATATTTCATATTATTAATCTGGCCTTTCTGATTTTTGTCAGTTCTATCGTGTGGTCTTAAGCACCTACCAGTTTTTTTTTCCTTTAAATTCTAGAATATAGAAAATATCAAAATATAATTTCGGGTTATTTTAGTTCACTTTATAGTAGACTTTATAGAGTACTTTTGACTTTATATCCTATCGTGGTAAACCTACAGCTTTTTTTTTATTTTTCAAAGACCGGGGTGGCGGTCATAAATAGGCTAAATACTGGTAAAATTATTTTATTAAAAGCCGACGTTTCGACCCGACTTAGCAGGTCTTCTTCAGGGAGGTGTGTTCAGCTAGGAGTTTCACTTAATACTCAACTTCTTCAATTTTTTATTTAAAGATGAATTTGGTAAACAAATAAAAAATATTTAGATCAGTAGGTTTTTACACGCTAACGGCTTGATATATTTCTGGGACAGAGACAAGACAAAAAAAAAAGTCAAACAATAGGTAACGCCGTTGCACAAAGCTTATCGAAGGCTCGCTGACAAACATGGCCTACTTCCAGGACTCCAGCACACTGGATCCGCCCGGGCCGGCGCTCCTGGATAAACTGGGTCACTGCTTCCAGCTGCTTCCTTCATCGTCTTAAGTAACATAAATCGTGGTGGTGATAGGCCCAAAGTCCATACCTAACTTCAGGATATAGAAGGATATGACAAAAATAATGGGAAAAAATTATGTACGCTAGTAAAACGTAATGTTTAAGATTAAAATATTGACTTCAAAAAGATATTGAATATATATATATATATATATATATATATATATATATATATATATATATATATAGATTCTTAGAAGAATCCTGGGTCCAAAATAATACCAGATTGATACAGACTGAAATCCAATAAGGAGATTTACAGTGAAACCTCTGATTTGGAAACGGAAATGAGGGTAAGAAAACTTTAATGGACACATGCAAAGGATGACAGAGGAGAGGTTAAACAAGAAGATTTTCAATAGGGATATGGAATACAAGTTTAACCATGGATATACGGTACAAATAAAACAGGAAATACAGAGGCTTGGGATAACACGGGAATTATGTGAGGATAGGACAGAATACAAGAAATTCCTGAAAAGTGCGGTGCGTGTGGTGACAGTAAGGAACTTCCGTCCAAGAGGAATTGGACGGAGAAGAGGAAGAGATTGAAAAAGAAACCAGTATCATAATCGCGAAATCCTTCAGGGCTGTTTCGTGTCAAATAAATAAATAAATGATATACGTATATATGTATTTCATTTCAAAATTAGGACTAATATTTCCACGAACGGTATTGAGATTTTTACCAGAAGGAACAAACTTAAGATGAAGCCCACCTTTTTTCTCCATTTTGTGCTCAAATTATCTTAAGATTAAATCTGAAAGCAAATGGGTATTACTAGTTTTCAGTACCTAATTAAATCTGACAAAGTTTGCCGATCTCCAGATTGAAAACGCCCCGATTCCGAGAATTTTCATAAATAAAATAGTTGTAGGTTACGATGAGATGAATATAATTAGGAAGTTTCAGGCGGATGTTAATAATTTGAGGAAAACTGGTCTATACCACGGACTATATTCTTATAAGAATATAATGGCTATTAAACGGATGGAATGAGTGGTTATATTTAGACTGCAATCATATAAGATACTATTCTGTAGGCGAATCATAGATGGCCCAAAATCAATAATCAGCGTCTGATTAAATTGTAAGGAGGAATTGCAATAAGAGGGTTTTAAATATGGATAGGGATGGTGCCTGGCGGATTTCAAGTAGAATGAAAATCCAAAAATTAGTGGAGCGGAAAATAAAGGTGTTTTGAAAAGAGGCAAATTTGTGAAAAGGGGTATAAAGGTAAGAAGGTCGAGATCTTGTGCAGAGAGTGTGGATAGATGACTTGAATTGAAGGAGATTGTATGCGTAGGACGGAGGATGGTAATAGATGATTTAGTATAGGAATGTGCCTACGATATATTGTCTTCTAAAGGAAGGGAAGATCCACCCTAACTAAATATGGTAAATAAAATAGAATTGAGCCTACTTGGCAGACTGTCCTTGGTACAATACAGATCCCTTTTTATTATTAAACTTTGTTTATTTAATTAGGTACTAAAAACTCGTAAATACACATTTGCTTTTCACTTGGATCGTAAGATAATTTGATCACAAAATAGATAAAATAGGTGGCCTACAAAAAAATTGGACCGTTTGTCCTATATAACCTCGTTATTATGAAAATTTGGGAGTGTAGGTCACGCCAAACGGCTCAATAATTTTTAAGGCCACATTTTTTCTTGATTTTGAGTTCAAATTATCTTATGATGATCAAAGTATTTTTTTATTTACGAGTATTTAGTACCTAATCAAATAGACAAAGTTTGTCCTCCTCCATAAAATATTTGTACGTTACGATGAGATGAAACTATTTATGAAGTTTCAGGCGGATGTTAATAATTCGATAGGGGTCTGTACCAAGGAATAATCCATATTGGAGTTTTTGAAATATTCTAATAATATTTTTTAACTGAATATATAGTTTTCGAATCTTATTAAAGAATAAACAAAAAGCAAAATAACCTTAAAGAATAAACAAATTTCCAACTATAATATAACTATAAGTAGTAGGATCTGAAAGAAGTAGGTCAGCTGTAGAGGCGGTGTGATATATACGACAGCTGATGTGGCGGGACAACCGCACGGAACTATATCCTACAGAGGAAAGTACTGCCTGCTTGATCAGGCCTTTTGTAGAAAGTGGGTAACATGTTCGCATCAACAGAAGAAAAGGTAAAAGAAGAAAAAAACCCGTCCGAGCTACACCCACAACGGCCGGGTTTCTCCGAGATACATCGAAAACACTTACCCCTCAATGTCCTCAGGCCCATTTACATAAAACACTTTCTCACAGAAATAACCAACCACTTAAGAGATATTATAAAATTAAAAAGAAAATGCATCCATTAAAACATTAGAAATGATAGTTGAGGCGTATAGTAGTTATAAACCGAGGTAAAAAAAAAAAAAAACTCTTCAAGCTTTTTCTACGTTTAAAAAATTCTTTAAACATTTCAACAATTACTATTATATACCATAAGGTGTCGGTAATTTCTAGGGAAAAATAAAAGAAATTAAGTAAAATGAATGTCCTTGAAAGCCTGTTAAAAAAAGAAATTAAAAAATAAAACGGTAATTACACGAACAATATGGCATTTAATGATAAATTAAGGAGCGGGATAGAACAGTGGTAGGGCACTAAGCTTCCAATGCTCGAGGTCCTAGGTTCGAATCCCGGCTCACGGTAGAAAAATTATTTATTCTATTTCATTGGCCGAGGGGCGATCCTGGAGTAGGGAGACCCTTCTGTGGCACACTCAGCCTCTGTAAAGTGGGTGCTCTTAATTAAATAATTGATTAAGGGGGAGCGTGATCCTGCCCCCATCCTCTCCCAGCACAACCGTTGGCCTTGAAACAGTGCTTTCCTAAATAGTAATGAACCAAAGACCCTTCATGGGTTGTAGTGGTACAGTTTTTTTTTAATGATAAATTGTTAATATTTTTTTTTTAACTCCATCATGCAATTTAGTATATGTTTATTGGGTCATAATTTTACCTCTCATACCGTATACAAATAATATACTTCGACATATTACCAAAGCAATAAGAATTAATTCTAAAGTCCCCAAAACAGACATTTACAGGTCACCAAGCAAAATAATTGTTAATGAATAGCAGAATTTATATAACAGGGAGTCTTCTCAAAGAAAACGGAGCGATCACTATTTAATCCATCCAAAAACTTCTTTAAAACCGTGGTTCACCTCTATTGGAATATATTAGAAAATAAATGAGGTGACAAATCTAACTAGGTTGAGGGCCAACCATGGAAATACAAATAAATTCTTAAAATTGATAAAAATAAATAAAACACCAAATTGTGAGTTATGTGACGAAGTAGAGAATCCATTACATCTAGCGATATCTCGTGTAAGCGTTTTAGTAACGAGAGGAGAAAATATATCGAGTGGCTGGCATTCAATATTCCTAAAATAATAAAAGAGTAAGATCGCGAAAAGCACAATCAGCTTGGAAAGTTCATAATAAAATTACAGCTTTAATTACTGATAAAACATTTCAAAAAAGTATAATATACATATATATATATATATATATATATATATATATATATATATATATATATATATATATATAAATATTTTAAGAGCTGCCCTATGGGAAGCTTTGGATAGTGAAACCTGAAGTTAGTTTTAGTATTACTGCCAACTAAATAATATACAGAAATATCCCCGCAGTAACTCAAAGAAAAAAGTTTGCTTTGTTTCATTTTTTCTTTTACGCATGATTATAGAAAATAAATTTAATAAAGGCGAATCTAAATCATTTGTTTTTCTATCTGACGCACTGCGGAGAAACTTTAAACCTAGTTTAAAAACCACGTCCATTGTTTAAGGACGTGGTTTTAAAACAAAGTTACTAGATTCTCTTAAAGGTATTTTTTTTTTTTCACAAAGTTTAAGTAAACGTTATAGAGAACTAAAATTTTCTTTAAATAAGTGTAATTTAATTAAAAAATATTTATTACATAATTATGGATGAAAGTGAGTCCATTTCAGAGAAATTTGAAACTTAGTACCGAGTAGTAGAAACCACATTTTTCTTTATCAATGTATCAAGAGGTGCGTTGATATAAAAATAATTTGATAAGGATTGTTCTAAAATTATATTTTCTATCAGAAGCGGATTTTTAAAAAAATACTATGGAGAATTTTTGAATTAAGAGTCGATAGAGAAATATATCCGCTATGGTAAAAAAGTCGCTATTAGCACTCAAACAAAAGCCCAAATTTTATTCTTTCATTGGATTAGTGGTGCACAAATGCGAGACCGATATGAGTCTTGGTCTTGCAAACTCAGTGTTGGTCCTGGTCTTGATCTTCCGCAAGAGTCTCCCAACAGTCTTACAGTCACTTATTAGTTTATTTCTATAGAGATATTACTGCAATTTTTTAGACTGGAGAAACCTAACTAAGCCCGAATGAAAAATTAGACGAGTTAATTACAAAATTATATTAGTTATACCAATTATTAACATATAGTAACTAAGATTTTTAAGTATTAGTAACTATTTTACCTTAATTTTTATTTTTAAAAAATTGATTTTTTTAACAGTCCTGGTCTTGGTCTTGCAAGACCAAAACCGATTTTGGGCAACACTACATAGGATATATAAATATCTGCTTAAAAAACTAAACATACCTAAAGTAAATCAAAATCACCAAATATTGTTAAAAGATATTAAACTTAAAACACTTGCAGATTCCTTAAAAAATAGTTTATTTTACATTTTCGATCACTTTTATAATAAAAGAAAACAAATAAAACCACAACAGACACTCATAACAGTGTGCTAACAACTGAATGCTAACGACCTCATTACCTCAAATCTATAAACATTCGTTTTTGTTTACTATTCTTCGAAAATAGCTTACCTACAATTCGGAGCCAATGCTCCCTTGATAAAGACTTGGGTAAGCGCTGACTCAGGCAGTGCCATCTCAATAATAAATAACCCAAGATCAGTGAACCAGCGGAAGCGAGGGAAAGTCAACAGCTGGACGGGGCGGGCTTCCGCCTTGACCCCAAAATGGCTCCGAGTGGGGGAGGACCCGCTAGCCACCCGCTCCGGTCACATTTACTCAATAAATTAATAAATGACGAAAAATATTCAATTAATAATGTTTGTGTAGTTAGAAGAAATCAGCAAAATCCTCCGCCCTCACCCCCGGCCCGGGAAAAAACACCGTGTAGCCTTTAGGCTTGCCTTTTAAGGTAAGGTAAGGGATAAACAAATAAAATATAAAAAAAAACAGAAGAAATTAATGATTATTTTTATATTGTTATAACTTACTAAAATATTATATCTATGAATATTCTCAGAAATGGGACTTTCTGATCAACACCTCCTTTACACTTACGGGAACATACATAAATTTCCCCACCCTCACCCCCCGGCCCGGGGAAAAATTATAAATAATAGCCAATTACAGACAGGATGAAATGCAGAAAAATTCTCTCTCTTACAATATACATAGCGGATTTTTCAGATATTTTTTTATTCGATTTTCGACACTATTTTTCTCCTTTTCGCCTCTCTAACAATATGTGGTATTAACATACAATTTTCAAAAGTAGCTTTACAAAGAGAATGGAATGCTGAACACTTTACTCAACAACAGTTTGCAGGCCTGATTTTTAGTTTCTGAGATATTTTAATCCATATCTACAATAAAACTCGTCAACATTTAGTTTTCGACCCTATTTTTCCCTCTTTAAAAAGGGAGTTTTTATTTTTTTCCTTTTCGCCTCTCACGGTGTCGCGCTATGAAACAATTTTGAACAATAGCTCATTATAAAGAGGATGAAATGATGAACATTTCTCTCACTAATAATATGCAGGTCAGATTTTTAGTTTGCGAGATATTTTAGATAAATCCATATGCAAAAATAGTTCAATTAGACGACTCCAGTGGAAATTACACGTCGGAGATCTGACGCCTCAATATAATTCACTAAAAAAAAAATTATAAAGTGGCCTACAAAAACATTAAACCGTTTGGTCTACATAACCTTGTTATTTTGACATGTTGGTAGTGTAGATCAATCCCAAACGGCTTAATATTTTTGCAGGTCATCTTTTTCTCGATTTTGTGATAAAATTATCTTACGATTCAAGTGAAAAGAAAATGTGTTTTATGTTCATGAGTTTTTAGTACCTAATTAAATAGACAAACTTTTCCTATCTCCAGTTTAGAAACTAGTGTTGCCCAAATGCGAGACCGAGACGAGTCTTGGTCTTGCGCAAGACTCTAGTAACAGTGTTGCCGTTACCTATTAGCTTATCACTACAGGGATATTACTGCATTTTTATAGATAGGAAAAACCTAACTAAGTCTGAATGAAAAATTAGTAGAGTTAAATGCAAAAGTATATTGGTTATTCTTATTCTTTACATAGTAAGTTTAGTTAGTAACTAAAATTGTCAAGTATTATTAACTATTTTGTCTCAATTTTTATTCAAAAAATCGATTTTTTTTTTTTTACCAGCCTTGGTCTTGGTCTTGCAACAGACAGGCGGTGTTGGTCTTGGTCTTGCAAGACCAAGATCAATTTTGAGCAACACTATTAAAAACCAACTGATTGCGAGAATTTTCGTAAATAAAAAAGTTGTTAGTTACGATGAGATGAAGCTATTTACGAAGTTTAAGGCGGATGTTAATAATTTGACAAAAAGGGATCTGTACCACGGACTACTAGAAATGTATAACATTGCCCACATGCTTTCAGAGCCTGTTTATCTTATTATAATCCTACAGAGCTCTTCCTGAGACAAAGAGACAAGCGTACTATTTAAGCTAGCGCAGATAATGGCCGGTGTGTGTATAATAGTGTATACGGCGGCCATTATGGAGGGAGGACTAAACGCGTGCAGCGAAAGATGTAATGACAGAGGTGGGCTACTTCCGCCAGGGCGACCCACATTTTTCCGCCTTTCACCGATAACAGTCTTCCCGACTCCTCTCGTTGGCCGAGGACTAACTCATCAGTTCCCTGTTTGCCAATCCACAGACCGCAGGAACCAAAATGGCAAACTGGCGAGGGAGGCTAATAGGGTCGGCGAATGAGATCGCATTACAACCATGATTGTCTCCGATCGGTTAACTCAGAGTTTTAAACTCATTAAGGTAGCGGTTAAACACTACTAGTATTGGTTATACTTTTTATATTTTTTTTTGTGATAATATAATTATAATAATAATAATAATAATGATCATTTCATATCAAGTATGGTGTAACAACTAGAGCATTAAAATTAAGCCCAACAAATGCCATTAAATAACTTTTGCCCGATAACGACATCATGTCCAACTGTAGATAAGAAAACCACTTGAGAAGAATGATACATTTTATTTCCATAACAGGAGGCCTGTCCACTCCAAGGCTATTGCGCATAATGGCCTTCCCCATGTAAAGACATTTTATTACCCTCCTCTTCTTAAAAACTGTACTGTAAAGAAATAGTAATTTCTTAACAATTAAACTTCATTCATTTTCCGCACATTCTAAATGAAACAGGCAATATGAGTCGATTTCTTTTTCCTAACGACCAGATTCATATATAATTACTAGTGCTTTCCGAAAACGATAATTTTAATTTTTAAATTAAAATATCAAAGGGACGATTTTTATAGTCAATAACATCGACCATCTACGGTCATTCCTGGTCTAACCAGAATGTAAAGGGAAATGATGTTTAACTTGCCAAAGCCAACACTGTCATCACCACCTATGCCGATGACACGTGTATCCTATCAGTTAATAATGATCCTTTAATTGCATCCCAAACTACAAGCCTTTAAGAATGGTGTAAAAATTGGAGAATAAAAATAAATTCTAACAAATCCCATCAAATCACCTTTACCCTCCGTCGTAAACCTATGACCTCTTGTCCTACAGTATCCTTCAATAATACTCCACTTATTCCTGTTAAGCAAATCCGCTACTTAGGACTCCACCTTGACAAACGACTCACTTGGAACCCCCATACCAGACTGAAACGACTAGAAACCGCCCGACGTTTTCGACTACTGCAGCACTTACTAGACAAACGATCTAAGCTTTCAATCAATTATAAACGACTTGTATATATGACAATAATAAGACCTATTTGGACTTAAGGAATTGAGCTTTGGTGCTCCACTAAACCATCGAATTCCTCTCGTATCCAATCCTTACAATCCAAAATCCTTCGTAAAATCCTCAACGCTCCTTACTTTGTCACAAATAAAATCATCCATAAAGACCTTAATGTTCCATATGTTTCCGATCTGGCCCAATCCAGATACCTTTCCTTCCATAACAAACTGCAGAATCATCCGAATCCTCTCGTTTCAAACCTTGCTTCATCCTCGATCCCTGATAATCCTCCGAGGCGTCTGAAAAGAAGATGGCCTCGGGATCTTCTAATATAGAACTTTAATTTGAGTTCTACCAATGGGTAGTTTCTCTTCATGTTGTACATGCCATGTTACCAATTTCTCATTTACTTATTGTATTCTCTACGTAATACAGTTGTAAATTCCACTAAAATAATAAAAAATAAAAAATAAAAACTTGCCAAAGCAAGATTTGTAGCGACTAGTTTCAAATATTCATATTTATTCCTAATAAACCGCCGAGGACTCATTAACTAGAATGTTTCTTATTGTGATTATAAAATGAGCAGCATCAGCAAGAGTATGTTGGATAAACATCCTTGATAAAATCATAGTGTTTATAAATGTTTTCCTGAAATAGCTTACGCTTCGATTGTAGTAATGAGAACGAGGTAGATGGTACAAGTGATATATATAGAGCCTAATGACATTGCAATTGAACATGATTGTCAATACACAGCTACTTTCCACATAACACAGTAATCTTTGAACAGTGTGGTCGATATGATCTTATGCCATATTGGAGAAGTACACTTCAAGACGATTACAAGAAATCTACAATAATAATTATAAATTATTATGATTCATCTGTTAAATATTCTAAATAAACAAAATAATGAAAACACGCTGTATAAATAATCATTAATAATAATGACTACCTCATCATAATAACGGCCATGGGACTAAACCAAACAATCCATTACTTCATCAATAACTCATAGTGAATATTTCGAAATGCACATTTGAAACATCAGCTAGATAGGAAGTTACGATGGTGCACTGAATTTATTTCCATTATCAACGAAGCGGTGCGAGAATAGAATTAAATACACTCAACCTTAAGATTTATTTGAGATCATAAAGGCAGTTGCCAACTACCTTGATCCGCCATTGAGTAGTTATATAATTGTAACAGGTCCTTGGATACGATACATTCATATCGTAGTTGATACATTACTGTAAGCACCGCGACCTTCAGGGATAAATAAACGTTTTGAAACCGGCCCAACTGCAAAATAGTCTGCATGAAATGAGCCCAACTGAGGCCTCCAAAATATCGTTTTTAAAGCTGGGTGCCAACTTCAAAATATAATTTATAATTATAATTTCAAAATATTTACATTTCTTAATATTCGTTATAAATAATACCTGCGCGCTCGGGTATACGACCTAAAAATAGTTGGCTCAAAATTAATTATTATTTATAAAGATTATTTATATATTTTTTTTTTAAAATAAGACTCTGATTTATTATCTTAAAAAAACAAAAAAGGTTGAAAATTTTTGAAAATATTTTAAGAAATAAAATACAGCAATATGTATTAATAAATCGTGTAAAAAACAGTTAAATGAAAATTTTTATTTTCTGAATTTAGATGTTGATGTACATTACTTTTCTGAATTTATGTGCATTTTTAAATCCTTTTATTATTTGTACTTTTATTTTATTACGAATCATCTTGTAAATATTTAATTGTATTTTATGAATACGGCCAGGATGTTAATTTATATTCTGTATTTATAAAATTATTTTCTTTCATTTCATTGATAAATAATAAATTTTCTTTCATAATAATAAAATCTTATAATCTTATAAAATCTTATAATATTATAATCTTTGATAATAATAAATTTTCTTTCATAAATATACAATATATAATTGAAGAGTAAGCATGCTACCAAAAGTGGACATCTGTAATTTGACAGAAACAGAAATTTTAACTATGCCTGGTAGAGCAGTATAATAATTTTAGAGAAGCCGTAAAAAAAAAAAAAAAAACCTGAATGATTACCTCATGAATTGAATATAAATATAAAATGAGGCATTTTTGAAATCAAGTAAATAAAAATACGTGTTCTTCCCAGGTAACCACTAAATACAAAAAAAAATCCTATCAGATTAAAGATTTTTTTCCTAATTTGTTTATAATTAAGTTAAAATTTAATTAAAAATTCCCTATATGGGGCTTCTTACTATGTTGGGCTATAGTAAATAGAATAGTGAATTAAAAATGAATATATATTTTTGACAAAAAAAAAAGATAACAATAACTTTCAATATATTAATTTTAGCAATTCTTTTCTATTCTGTTTCAATGTAAGGAACATTTTAAAATCCAAAATACTGAAAATATATTAATTATGTATTAATATTAAAGAGCAAAACGATCGATTACTTATCAAGCAATAATACAATAAACACAGCGCTGATTCTATTGATGGAATTCTTCAATCGATTGAATTCAGAATTTATAAACCAGCTAGATTTCAGCGAAATGTAAACGCACCTGGAAGGTAACAAAATATTTGGGAATATACAACTTATGAATTGTTGAATTAAAAAACAGACATAAATTAATAAATACATATATAAAATGAATTGAGAAACAACAACACAGAACCATTGATGCTTCAAATGATGAATAAAGAAACGCACTAAATTCTATCGATAAGTTTCAGAACGGTCACATGAATTATATAAGCCAGATGGGATTAGACATTTGCGGGATTAAGTCATAATGAAAAAAGAAGAGTTTTGGCGGGAACTTACGTCGTTCAAATTATTGTCTATATATATTATGGACTGGAGTAGACCTCCGTCAGTATTTTTAATATTTGTATATCAGAAGAATATTAAAAAATATATCATTGACCTTTAATATTGAATTTTGGAAAAATTGTACTTATGAACAGAAGCACTGGTTTCAAACAATGTTACAAAATTTACATAGAAATAGAAATAGAAAAATAACTTTATTCTGGGACACAGTCCCTTGAGAATAACAAATTAGAACAAAATTAAAATATTACATCTGGCCAAAACAAAATAAATCGAAAAAAAGAAATAATGTAAAAAAAAATATAAGGTAAAAACTCTATATACAAAACAAACTAAACTATATACAAAACCATTAATACTATTACAAGAAACTTAAAGCTATTTAGACCAGTATACACTTTTCCGAAAAAAATAAAGAATTAAAAAATAAAAATATATCAAATTCTCTATTAAAATCCGCTCGAATGGTTAGCAAGTATCTGACTGTTTTTGTGATAGGAATTGGAATAGGAGGGATTTGAATGTGGATATGGAGGGGGAATGTCGAATTTTGATAGGGAGGGAATTCCAGAAATTGACAGAGCGAACAATAAAGGAATTTTGGAATGAGGCAGATCTGTGAGAAGGCATGTAAAGGTCAGAAGGTCGAGATCTTGTGGACAGGGAATGGACTGAGGTTTTGAACTGGAGAAGGTTGTAGGCGTAAGAAGGACGATGGTTGTTGATGATTTGGTAGAGGAACGTACCTAAAAAGTATTGTCTTCGGAAGGAGGGGTAGAGCCACCTTAACTCAGTGTAGTGGTGAGAGACATGGGAGTACCTCGGGGCACCAATAACAAATCTTACGCAGCTATTCATTAATCTTTTCAGTCTATCACGGAGCTCCACCGAGAGGCCATCATACACCACACAGCTGTAGTCAAAGTGGGGGAAGATGAGAGAGGAAATTAGGAGTCTACGGATATGTTGAGGTAGGAGATGGCGGAAGCGATGAAATAGTTTAAGGGTAGAGATTGTCCGACGGGAAATGTGAGAAATATGGTTGGTCCAGGAGAGGGTTTGATCTATGAAAAATCCTAAATTTTTAACAGAGGAGTAGAAGGAAATTGGCTGGTCATTAAGGTGTAATATGGG